TCAATTACTATTCCTCCTATTATCTTACCTGATTCTAAAACTTTTGATGTCTCTCATAAGTTTCGTAGTCTAGGTTTTATCTTTGATTCTACTATGTCTCTCTCTTCTCAGATTAATAGTGTTGCTAGAAGCTCTTACTTTCATCTACGTAGAATAAAAAAACTTTTGCCTTTTCTTGATGATCCTACTCTTCTCCTTCTTGTTACTTCGTTAGTCTTATCTAGGATTGATTATTGTAACTCGCTCTACTATGGTCTTCCTGACTCTATACTCTATCCTTTAAGTAAAGCTTTTAACTCTGCTGCTCGTCTAGTTGCTCGTGCCCCTTTCTTTTCTCATATATCTCCATATCTTGTTCTCTTGCACTGGCTACCTATAAAATATAGAATAATTTTTAAAATTTGCACGTTCATGTATAAGTCTCAATCTAAATTATTTCCTAAGATTGGTTTACGATCGTCTTCTTCTCGCTTTTTCTTAACTCGTGTTAAACACTCTTTTGCCAAATCTGCTTTTGCTTTTTCTGGTCCTTTTCTCTGGAACTCTCTACCTACTTCTCTAACTATTTCTCCATCACTTGCGAAGTTCAGAGCGGATCTCAAGACCCATCTGTTTTCAAAATTCATTGAGGAGCGCTGTTGAACATCGCGGAAATAGCGCTTTATAAGCTAATTGATTGATTGATTATGACTTTCTCGTGGTTTATTTTGTTTGAAGTTTCATTAAAATGTTTAATATTAGATTAAATTTGTAATTACTAACATCACTATGGTGAGAAAATTAATACATTTATCCTCACTCTCTAACGTGATAAACAATAAAAATTTGGCATCTAAAGATATGAAAGTTTACAATCAAAGATCATCAAGCATACAGATGCAGACCGCGTGATATAGATCTGATGCTATTGAACCACGAGAAGGCAATATTTTAGACCTCAATTGACTGGCCTCATCATTGATATTTCGCTGCTGTATTTTTTGCAACTGTCTTTTTTCTTTCTCGTATCTTATCCTTTCAAGACACCGACCTCCACAAAACACGATCTCTAACATTTTGTAGTAGTTGAAATGTGGTGATATTCAACAAGTGACACAAGGACATCACGAATGTTATTCGTTTTTTACCGTGATCTCTTCTCCCTTCAATCTTTTAGTGGTTGTTAGATTTTCCATTCCTTCCTTCCGCATGATGTGACCAAAAAACTTTAACTGCCCCGTCGGTTTATTTGTTGTAAGTTCCTCTTTTCATAACCGGACTGTTTTAATACACCTCATTGGAGGTATGAGAGGTCCAAATAAATTTCATAATTCTTTTCAAAAGTCACATCTCAGCAGCATTATTCTTTTTTTTCATTTCTTTCGAAATCGTCCAGGACTCAAAGTCGTAAGTAAGCACATGAAAAATATAACACCCTAACAGTTTTAATTTTGTTGATATTCTGATTTTACTGTACATTTTAGAATATGCATCATTCACCATAGCTATTCTTTTTTTAACATCCATATCACATATACAACCTGAGGTAATCAGACTTTCGAAATAATTGAAGCTGTTGACTTGTTTCACCTGTTTACCATTAATGATTATGGAGCTGATCGGAACGGTTTTGCTTTTACTGATAACCATGCAATATGTTTCGATGATGTTATTTTGCAAGCCTTTCCTCTCAATTTCAACCGCACTGATCAGTTATGCAAAACAGTTTTCGCCGAAAGACCAATCAACTACTGTCAACAATATATATAAATATTTTAATTTATTTGCTGTTTTGACTACTAAAGAATTTTTCTTGGTAAAGTTTGTGATTCATTGCGAGACCAGGTCATTTTTAATCAGATGGTTTTCTAACATAGCCAATCTAAATCATTCTAACGGTCATCACTTCAGTCATGCATGTTGAATTAAACCGATGTACCATTCTCTCAATCACGATAAACACCAGCAATAATTGTTTTTTTAAAAAACTAAAAACTCTAACATCAGTTACAAATATTCAATAACTCTCGTGTACTTTAAAACTGTGTTTTCAAAGAATATCATTTTATAAGTTTATTATAAGTTTAATGCTGCCACAAAAAATGCCAAACTATTCTTAGTAATGTTTTTTATAAATCCGTAAACTATCGTTTTTCGACTAATTAATTTGCTTCGAGTTATTTTGAATATTTTAGCATTGCATTGAACTCTTTAGAATGCTTGAAAAAGAAATACATGCGTTCATACCCACAATACCTTGATAGTTTTATCAGTTTTTATCAATATTATCATTGGTATTACCCTTATCAAATCAACGCTTCCGCTTTTCTTGCTGAACATTAATTTTATATATAAATTATTTAGAGAACACAAATAATTCTTCAACACAAATTTCATTTTACAAAATGTTTAATGATCATTAAAATTCATTTTATGCTTTTAATGATATAAACTGCAATGCCAGTCTGTCGTTACAACTCATTCTTTAACTAAAATTCCTTTTAAAAAAGACTTTCAAAAAAATGTGGGCTGGAATGAAAATATTTTTACCAAGTAATTTTATTTGAGTAAAATTAGTAATTAAATGAATAGATAATAAATTCTTCGAATTAATCCCTAAACATAAAATTTTGAATTTTGAACAATAACTGATAACTCGTTATAAATATTTCAGTAATGTACTTTGTTGTAAATTTATGGAGCGCCTCTGTGGACTGCAGCGATGTAGTGATCTTATCTTGCGTCTACACGCCAGGCATCCACAAGGGTCATACATTACTACATGTATTAGGATCCGTGTCTTTACATGGAAGAGTATCTATTGGAACTTTGTGTTAATGAGCTGATATCTTAAAAGATGCTGCCACATCTACCTAAATAAATCGATACAATTTTTTAATGAGACACTTTGATAGGTTGACATGAAAAGCTGATCATTGATATGTATGTTGATTTTATAAACTGTGCGGTGATAACTGAATGGTCTTTTGTGTTAACGTCGTGTGGCTCACATCTAAACAGACACTCGCACGCACGCACACACGCACACACACACACATATATATATATATAGATATATAACACCCATACATACACATATATACATATACACACACGCATGCAAACAGCGCATTCGTATAACAGCTGACATGTTTAATATACGTGTACATGTTGTACACATACATGCGTATATATCCCGTATAGGTATACATGTATGTATGCGTGTTCGTATACATATGTATGTTTAAAAGCGACTCATGCCAGCCTGCATGTATGTATGTATGTATGTATGTATGTATGTATGTATGTATGTATGTATGTATGTATGTATGTATGTATGTATGTATGTATGTATGTATGTATGTATGTATGTATGTATGTATGTATGTATGCAATGCATGCATGCATGCGTGCAACGGCACTAAGCAGACCGCCAATGAACAATCAGCAATTCCTTCCATCGCTTCAACCAACCTACTGACACCATCGTCATCAACATCGTTTTCGTATCATCATCGTCACACTCATTATAATACGTAAAAATAATTCATTTGGACGAGTTTCCCTTTTTATGGATTATTTATCCTGCATCTGACCAACAATTTCCGCATATTTTGTTAACGGGTTCGTTCCTACAACAATCTGCAATGGATTTTCTACGCTTATAAATGTACGTATGCACATATATGTTGGAATTAAATGAAATACGTACATATACATGCGTACGTTGAAGGAAAAATTTAATTTTTGATGCACCGCTCAAGCCATCGGCAATGTCTTTTAATGCAAAAAATAATTCCTCAAAGCAGCAACAGCACCAGCCTGACGTCATACAATCGAATAATAATTACAGCATTCTGAGTGACGGAAATATTAACAGCAATAATTATTACAAAAGCGTAAACGAAGATGAGTTAAAAGATGAAAATGTCGATGTCGATCCGACCACACTGCAGAACTTGCAACCGGCGCAGCAACCACAGCAATGGCCGACGAATGATTATAACGTTAATAGTGGTGGTGTCTTTCATAAAATGAACAGCAGAAGGGTGGTCCTAAACGTCGGTGGGGTGCGACATGAAGTCATGTGGAAGACTTTGGACAGGCTGCCAAGAACCAGGTTGGGAAAATTGAGGACGTGTCAGGATTGGGAATCGTTGAAAGATCTCTGTGATGATTTTGATGCATCCTCTATGGAATTTTTCTTTGACCGACAATCCAGGTTGTACAAATGCAGCAATGTATAATAATATTTGAATTGTGTAATTATGTAGTTGGAATAATGTTTTAATTTAATAAATCAACCAACCAGCTACTAAATTTCAAATAACTTAAATATTATTATATTATTCAACGAGGTCTTTGCACACTTCCCAAACACACAGGCACACGTGTTAAACAGTTCGTCGTTTGTAGGCTGTATTATAACTCTCAGGATGCACTATGTATTTGAACCGGGTCGTCGCATGGCAGCACATGACTTTTGACTCATTAACCAAATTAACTAGCTAATATTTTATTAAAATCTGAATCTAGATCAGTTAATTACCCCTAACTACAAGCATTTGGTTTTTCAGTATAAATAATGAACTTGGTAACACACCTGTATCCAGGTCCTTCTCTTCCATATTGAACTTCTACAGAACGGGGAAGTTGCACCTTGTTGAAGATATGTGCGTTCTGTCATTCAGTGATGATCTCGAGTATTGGAATATAGATGAGTTGTATTTGGAATCCTGCTGCCAACACCGCTACCATCAATTAAAAGAACAGGTACATTCATTTCTCGATTATGTTAAAGTAAATAAAGTAAATATATGATACAAATGAAAATTTTACATTTAAACAAATGGTGTCTAAAAACGAAATAATTTAAACAAAAATTGTTGTTTTTAAATACGTCAATATTTTTTTATAAAAAGGTCATGGAAGAGATGAGGAAGGAAGCGGACAGTTTGTTAACGAAAGTTGCGGTGGAGGACTTTGGATCAGGTGGACGACGATATTCTTTTATTTTCAACTCTTTTATAAGTCACAACTAATTTTATCTGACGTTTCTATTATATAATCACTGTAATAAATTTTAGGCTTATAGTTATAAAATTCCTAATAAATATGAATTTAATGAATAAAAGGATATGCCTTCGTTTGATTAGGTATGTGTACCGCCTGGCAGAAAAAGCTCTGGGATTTATTGGAAAAGCCACAAACATCCATGGCAGCCAGGGTAAAAAAATTTATTATTTGCAATAGCGGCTTCTGTTTAAGCTTACGCTCTTCTATCCAATCAGTTTCTACTTAATTATTAAGTTAGGGTTACAAAAAAGCTGCATGAACTGAGCTGGAAGGTCTTCAAGTTGACATAACTAGGTGTGTGCTGGACTGGCATGTACCTTTGTTTTTAACCCGAGTAGGCCTTGCATCGTATAAATCCCGCGCGTATATCTTTGATGTTTTATCAGCATTAAACCTACCAAGTCATAATATCGTTGTTTGTTCAATAAAACAACTTAAAACAAGCCACTTTTATTATATATGGCATTTTAATGTCATGTTGTAGACAATTAATTTAAAATGAATTAGTTTACTTGGATAAAAGAACTATAATTTTAATGGATGCATTACATTTAAATTTATTATTTGATTAAATTAACTTTTTTTACCATATTGGCAGCTGATAGCAATCATTTCAGTATTATTCATCGTAGTGTCGACGATCGCCCTCACCCTCAACACCATCCCCTCCCTCCAAGGCCGCGACAAGAATGGAAATGCCACTGATAATGACAATCTCGTCGTCATTGAAGCCACGTGCATAGGCAAACATTTATATAGACATTGATGTATTTTCAGTCTCAGTGTCTTAGCGTGATCTTTATTTTAAAATTTTTAATTATTTGAAATAAATTATAATAAACTAATAATAATAATATTATCTGTGACAGGTTGGTTTACATTGGAATACATACTGAGGTTATGGGCGTCTCCGAGCAAGTTGGTTTTCATAAAAGGCGGAATGAATGTCATTGATTTGCTGGCCATCCTTCCTTACTACGTCTCTCTCATGCTCCTGGAGTCCAACAAAAGCACCGAACAATTCCATAATGTCAGAAGAGTTGTGCAAATTTTCAGGTGACACATTTGTGTCTTTGTGATTCAAAATGCCATCTTTCTTATAACAAGTTGTCTAGATACATTTGCAAATGATGTACAGAAGTTTTTGTTTTCTAATTGGATCTGTCCGTCTGCGAAAATGAACATCACTAACAGTACATGTTATCATAATTGGGCTTTGCAGACCACCTGTTTAACAAACCGTTGTCACAAATGATAGATAATAAAAATGATGTTAAAAAATAAATATTGCCTACGAAATTACATTTGGGATGCGATGGGATTTGTATAACTACCCATTGAACAGCATCATATTTTCTGAGACTTTCCAGTTTTATTCATTTACGTTATGTGCTTATTTTTACTAATCTCATAGTTAGATTATATCAAAACCTTGCATCATCATTAAACATTGAATGAATTTTTAAAATTCTGACATGATGAACATTTAAAAATTGTTTTATAATTTACTAATAAATATAATTGGCAACAAATCTGCAGAGTGATGAGGATCATGCGGATATTGAAACTGGCTCGCCACTCGACGGGCCTTCAGTCGCTGGGATACACTCTGCAGAGGAGCTACAAGGAGCTGGGACTACTCATGATGTTCCTCGCCATCGGCATTCTTGTCTTCTCCAGTCTTGCCTACTTCGCAGAGAAGGACGAAGTGAACACGTCCTTCCACAGCATTCCTGACACGTTCTGGTGGGCGGCAATCACCATGACAACCGTTGGTTACGGAGATATGTGTCCATCTACGGTATGGGGCAAGGTAGTAGGGGCCGCCTGTTGCGTTTGTGGCGTCCTCGTGGTCGCCCTCCCCATCCCCATCATTGTCAACAACTTTGCGGAATATTATAAAGACCAAATGAGACGGGAGAAGGCCATGAAGAGGAAAGAAGCCCTAGAGTTGGCGCGGAGGAGTGGAAGTATCATTTCATTCAGTGGCTTAAAATCTTTCGGAGATTGGAAGGACATAAAAATGGCTGGCGGTGGTCTTGAAACCTCTGATTCACTTGCCAGACAAATTGCATCTGTTAGCGCTTCCATTATTTCTCTGTAGGGACATTTAGTTTATTAATTTTTTAAGTATATCAGAAAAATTGTTTTTCAATAAAATTTTATTATTTCTATATTTAAAAACTCTTAAAAAGTCTAATTTAAAATAATAATGAACTTCAAAATTCTGTTCAGCCTGCTGTTAAGATGAAACACGCCGTGAGCATGTCGAGATTGCTGCCAAATAAAAAACAGCAGCATCTATCGCGTCACGTCGTCCCGTCGTCATCCAACGTCCAACAGGTCAGCAACGAAAATCTCAAAAGGATGGTCATGTCCAACCCTAATCTTTCCATAATGCATGAGGTGACTAACTTTTTCATTGTTATCAATTATCGTATAATCCATTTTATTTTAAAATTTCATATTAGATTATTATTTGTAATGAAATTTTGGTAAAACTAAAATAATGTTGATTTCAAAACCAAAATGGAAAATGAACGCAAGGACGCAGCCGGACAGATGAAGCAGAACTTGTTTCTGGCCATTCCACCGTCCTCTCCGCTCCAGCAACAGCAATGTCACTTTCCTAATAATTCCTCCCATACATATAATGGTAGAGTTGTTGGAAAATAATTTTTATTACACCCGCTAACAATTAGGTTGACGTTTAATTTTAATTTCACCGTTTCCAGATTCCTGTATGTTAAAAAAGTACACCAACGAATTGAAAAACGCGAAGGTATCTGACGATATTCTTGATCTAATGAAAAGCCAAAGCAAAAAAATGCCAATCAACCTAACTTTCAAGCCGTTTACAGCGTGCCAGTCAAAGCAATGCCAGCTGATGAACAAACGTCATCAGGTTCCTCAACAAACATATCACGTGTCATCATCGCTGCCGTCAACAAAACAACTGTCATCTTCTTCCTTATCATCTCCACTGCCTCCGCAACATTTTGCAAGTGTGAAATTGAGTGACTCGAGTGATAATCATCATCATTCTCATCAACATTATCCTCATCATCAGCAGCAACGTATTATGCACTTACACAATTCAAGTAACCATGAAGCTTGCAGCATGTTTCCATTCGATGTAGTCAGATGCCAACAGTGTGGAAGCCTGAAGAGCAGCAGCATCAACCCCTGCGAATGTTGTGTGGATGTTTCTAATGTCAACCTTATGTTCTTTCCACACTCACCTAATCTCGATCTCTCATCTCGTTTCGATATCAACAGCAGCAGCCACAAATCGCTCATCACCATGAATCCGACACTCAACAATGAAATGAATTCAGAAGCCACGTTTAGCCACTACGAACCAGCAGCATACTCACAACAGCGTCAACATTACCAGCAGCATCAGGTTGAAGTTGTCCTGAAGGATCCTTCCAATAATGATGCTTCCAAAACAAAAATAACCAAAAAGAAGAAGCTGGCCGTTGACAAGCCGCACAGGAGGCAAGCAACCTTTTACCATCTTAATAACTTTTTTCTTGTATTTCTGTAAATAAATTTAATAATAAATAATTGTTGTTTCAGGGTCATATATATTTATTCATTCATTAATTTATACATTAAATGATTGCACATTGTTAAATCATTCATTTAAATCTACAGATATGATTGAAAGTTGAGACCATATATATTAATATATTTAACATACATGGTTGAAACTAATAAAAATTATTTACCAAACTAACATCATTGAGACATACAAATGGAAGTCGAAGTGGGCCAATGGTATGGTTGCAATGACGGGGTTTGAATGCAAGGACATTCCAGCTTATCACGTACATTATGTGCTTGTGCAGTTGAGAATTAATTGAGAGAAAATTAATATTAATAATGGAAACTCTTTTATTTCAATCAAAGTCAATCTAATGAATGGAAGAAAATAGAATAATTAAAATATATACTAATGTAATAATACCCAATAAAACCACAATGCTCATTATCTATGACAAGTGCAAAACGGTAAAATATTCAAATTGGTTACGGATTGTTTCTATCGCAATAAATGGCATACGTCGATTTAATAACTGTATAAGTTAATTTGTTAATAAATGTAATCGGCCATGAATTTTTAATTAGAGACAAGTTTAAAACATTAAAAAAGCCAATCGGGGTGATTTCAAATGTTTTCAAAACAATTAAACTGTTTTTAAAGTCAGCCTTTAAACACAATTTCAAGTTATTTTCGTATTTCGATTGTTTGTAATTTTTTGATCTTATCAGATTTGTTTCATGGCACACCGTTAATTCGATGACTTCAATCTTGTGGTCGCGCAAAATGGCGATGTCTGGACGAAGAGTGTCGAACAGTTGCGATATTGGCAGCGAATATCCGGCAGTCCGGCTGTCGACATGTCTTTAACCAACTGACGATCTCGGATAAAATTTTATTATGACGTTCAGTATATCTTGCTAACGCGACAACAGATCCACAGTTGGACACAACGTGTTTGTTAGTTTGTTGAGCGCCGCAAAGAGGACATAGGGAATCGTGTGTCTTTCCCCATCTGAGCAGATTGGCGTTGGTCGGCAATTGCTGTATAAGATATTTCCTGGCAAATTTGTAGAGAGTTTCTGTAACCAAATCTAATTGTTTTGACCAATGTGTTATTCGCGATGGTGATATTACCTCTGTTACTGATTTAACAATGGAACCCTGGATCCGAAGCGACACAACATGATTCCAGTTGGCAGTTATCTGATCTTCCTTTAAATGTTTTAACGAATGAGTTGTTGTGTCTGTATCTGATAATAAATTGTCCACCATTTTGTAGTCTATTGATGTTTCCCGCCAGAGACAGCGAGTTTCGGTTCGTTTTGAAGTAATTGCGGAGTTTTAATCTCATTTTTAACGCAGTATTCCTGAGTGAAACAATATTATGACCTGCTGTCTTCAATGGTAGCCCTAGAACCTCTGATACATAACCGCTAATTGGCATCGTTAGCCAATCTCTAACTGCCTCTGTCACCATGTTGTCCAAGTTATTTTTTATCCACGTCAGTGAAAGATTATAGCTTCTCAATTCAAATTTTAATTGTGACGGGATAAATCTTCTTAAGACCTGGAGTTTCATTTGAGTGGAAACCTTTAGATCCGTTGTCCTCTTTAACAGTCTTGTTAATTTGGAAACCATTTCTTCTTTGGCCTTTGTGTCCTTTAGTTCCGCATCGTATATTTTACCCAGGTATTTGAATCCAGAGCCCAATTCAGCGGGTGGAATGGGAATGTTGTCTATTGTCAACCTGGGCAAAAATTGATCATATGAGCCATCTTTTTTCATCATACCGAACACACAACATTTGTCCACTCGCATCTGCATGTCTGACCATCGGCACCAAGCTAGATTCAGATCAATTAGCTTTTGAGCACATTCCGAATTGTGTGCTATTATCGCTGTATCATCTGCAAACTGCAGCCATGATCTAGCCCTCACATCTGACGTTGGTCCCCACAGGTAGCCGCATTGTTTAAATTCATCACCCTCCAAGATTTTCATCAACGGGTTAAAGCAAAGGTTAAACAACAATGGCGAACATGGATCACCCTGTATCACTCCTTTTCTTACTGGCAACAACGGTGTGAGTTGATCATTAATTGATACTGATATTGCATAGCTCGAGTAGATTGACAAAATTAAATTTCGGAATAATTGAGGAACATGATGGTAGAGTAAAATGGAATTAATAAGCTGATGGTTTACCTTCCCAAACGCATTCCGAAGATCCAGTAGAGCAATAATTATCGAGCGTTGATATCTTTTTGCGTCTTTCATTAGATGTGATAGCATCTGTGTGTGCTCTGCTAGGCCATCGAGCGTAGGGTAAAAACCTTTCTGTATATTTGTGCTGATAAAATTATTTTGTAGGAGGAAGTTGTGAAGACGATTTTTGATTTATGTAGAAAATATCTTGTATAGTACAGGCTGGAGAGTTATGGGGCGAAAGTTAGCCGGGTCATTTGCATCACCTTTTTTATGAATAAGAATCGTTAAGGCTATTCGCCAACACAGCGGAATTGTTCCGGCATTCCAACATTTAACTATTAATTTATGAAGGTATGTGCGGAGAATTGGACATCTTTTTAGCGCAATAACCGAAATTTGGTTCAGCGGACAAAGTGTGGCTTTGGCCTTGCACCTTCGAACAATCGCAACGACTTCCTTATATGTCGGTTTATCGATGTCACCCTTAACTGACGGTTCCGGCAGGGGATGAATCCAATCTGGAAATTGGAATGAAGATCGAGCGTCGGCTATCAATCCATTGCGGAAAAAGGTTTCACCGTTGGCCACATTATATTGAGGAGCTACATTTGTTGATGATGAAAACGATGATTTGCAGGCCCTCCAGAAATTGTTGTTGAACTGGTTTGTATCCATTGCGGAGCACGTTTTCTTAGAGGATTTTAATCTCAATCTCTCTCGAATTAATTTACTCAGTTTTGAGATATGGGTGTTGAAAACGTTATTGCAGTTTTGAGCTTTTAGTTGTTTTAGCTCCTTTTTTTGTTGTTTGATTGTGCAGTCTGTTTTCAAATTATTTGTTGATTTAGTTTTTACAACGCCGTAGTTTGTTTTGAAGTAAGAGTAAATTATTTGTTGAAAATGTGTTGCGAAGTTGTCTAAATCCATGTTGTTTAGGCAATCCAATTCACTCTGAAAAGCCACGTTTGCTTCTGACCAATCCGCTAGAAATTTTGGCAGTTTAACGCCTGAGAGCGGTTGTGGGGTCTCCGTTTGTGTTGGTTTGTGTTCGAAACCAGAGCGACCTGGGTCAGAAGAAGTGGATGTTTCTCCTTCATCTACTTTGGCTTTGAGAGATTTGCACATTTTACAAGTTCTTTGGTGCATTCTTAATCCTTTTCTACCCTTACAGGGTCGGCCACAAAAACATGTCAACATATTATTTAAATTATTTGAAATATTATTGTCGTTATTTATTAAACTAGACGAAATATTAATATTTGGTGAATTGTTTTCATTTACAGTTTCTATCTTAGTAGCTTTTGTACAACGCCAGGAGTGTCTGTTCAATGATATAAACTCTTTATAACAATACGGACATTTGGTCGCGTTAATTAAAATTATTTGATTTAAAACCACAATTAAACATATTAAATTATAAAAAATATAGTTCTTATTGAAATTTAAAATTAAAACAACGGCCATGTTTGTTACAATTTGCGAATTTATTTAAAACCAAATTTAAATAGTTAAACTTCGTTAAAACACTATTATTGCTATAAAAACAGTAAGCTGTGAGAATACTACTCTCTTGTTCGGTTGTAATAATAATAATGATTATTGATAATAATAATTGTAATAATAATAATAATAATATTGATGATAATAATAATATATAATAATATTGATAATAATAATAATAATAATTAAAAGGAACGCCTCGTGTTGTGTGTGGACAGAAACATATTCGCCCCCACCGACGCTCGACACCATCGACCACCAGACCATCGTGGAGACTGACCAGCTGCTGGAACAAGTGCAACAACAGCTGGAGACTAGCTGCAGTGATGATCTGCTCTTCCTCAGAAAGATTCCTGCTGCAACAACGGAAATGTCTTTCGTCATCCCAGAAGATGATGATGATGCTGACGACGACGAGGATGGCAGAGAAAATGACAGGTCCGTTGATTCCATCGATAATTATGACGATGGTGACGGAGCGCACGGAAGGGACCTGCTCGACAAGTCACTTCCTAACTACGATGATTATCTCTTTAATGAAAGGAAAAATAACAAACCATGTACTAATAAAAGTGATAGAATATTTGGCAATAAAAAAAATAACCCGAGAAAAACTTTAGATACTAACAATTTTGACGATAATTTTTTAGAGAAAAGTGTGAAAAACGAAGCAGATAATGTCAAGAGCGCCCTGGTTGATCGCGATGTGGAGTTCATTGATGATTTGGACCACCATGATCAACACTTTAATGATTCTAATCCGATGAATTGAAAAAATCTCAGTACAAAATATTGTAGGCGCTTTTTTTGATTCATCAGACCTGAACAAAACAAGCATTATACAATGAGCTATAATTTTAATACAACATTTATTTTTTTAAGTACGATTTGTTTTGTTAACTACGAAACTCAATGGCCGCCACTAGAAAACCTGTTTATTACGTTACATCTGGCACGAAAATAACGTTCTAAATAGAGCTAGCAATGAATATCTTTTAAAAAAGGAGCAAAACAGTAGAAACTACTTGAAGCGGTCGAACGTCAAAGATCGATAATTTCATAATTTCAACGTTTTAAACAATTTCAAAGCCTTCCTGATTTTCTATCATATTATTTGATTATCTACTTTTTATATTGTTCTTTTCAAGCAATTAAATAAATAATCAAATGAAATTGGCTTCAAATGACGGATGTAACGAACAAATAAAATATCTATTCTTAAATAATTCTTCACAAATTACCAACAAAATAAAAAAATAATGAAAAAATGAGTGCTAATTTATATATAGAGAAGACATTCTATACATTATATAGGTACTATGGGCTAAATGTACATTCCGTAGCAATTCCAAAAAGTTAAAACTACTGTTATATATTCATTTACTTTCTACTGTTTGCTTACATCTTATATTTGATGAATAGAGCCTAAAATTAATTCAATTATTCATGCTCGAACAAAAAGTTTTTTAAATGACTTTTTAATAATTTTATTAGTCTTATGTTTAAACTCAATGATGATAACTAATGTAATGTCCATGCTGCAATTCTGAATATGTTATACACAATCTCAAAAGGCTAAAATAAGTTTGTTTCAAAGGCGATGATTTGGTAGAACAAAAGAATATTATTTTTTGTAAATTTTCCAATTATGAACATTGTTAAAGATCGATAAATAACTCGTAACTCCACTACGGAAAAATAGAATCACTCGTCTTCGAAATTGAAATGTTTGCAACACTAATGAGGACGGTTTGGACTGTTTTCAGCAAATGCTAGCAGAATCTTCCTCCACTTTCTCAGAAGTTTCTTTTTAAACTCGACGTTGTACCTACGCATGTTGGAGCTGATGGTCATCAGTTGTTCATCCGTTATATCCTTAAGGATCTGTACCAAGTGAGGAATACTCTCGTACAGAACTCCATACGGCATTACCTGTTATTAGTGGTGTTGAAGGCATTCCTAATGTTGTTAAGTCGATCTATTCAAATGTTCACCGTTGATAATGTTGTGTTGCTGCTTAACTACGTGTCTACGTTTGATTGATGCGATTGTTATTAGTATGAACCTGAAACAAAACACGGCTAGATAGAACATCAAGAAACGACAGTAACACAAATATCTCATCGAATGGTGCCAAAAACAACCTGGTAGAAATCAGCAAACTGCATCCAGTACCTCGTGCTATTGTAGTCAAATTCATTCTTTGGATCTGGTACATCTCCCTGAGAAGGGTCTGGCCCAATAATGGAGCTTGTGGGCCGTTTGCGAAAAAAGGCCCCATCAAATGACCTAATTATATATATATATATATGTGTGTGTGTGTATGTATGTATCATATGTATGTATATATACATAATGAACCGTACAGATATTAAGATACAGATACGTATAAAAAGGAAACATGTTTAAAACAATGTACGCGAAACGCCCTATAAAAGTTTTCAGTGATAAAAAAAACTGTAATAAAGACAATTTGTGGTTTGTCAAAAAGTTTTAAAATATTTATTAAAGGACAATTAAAATATAAATTCTAGGCATTAGAAAAATTACAACATTGAAAGTTTCTTAGATGTCTTTCGGAAGGATTCACGTGATCTTTGATGATTTTGTTGAATAATTATATAGGTTGATTCTAGGTGCAATGTTGCAAAGTTTATGTTGATGTTTTTGTTATAGTAAGACTGAAATGATGACTGGTTCTATCGATTTTTTTAATCTCGCGGCAGAACTCGGACATGTTGCTTTTGAGTTTTGTGTGTGTGTGTGTTAGCGCGCGCTATAGTGTGTTTCGTATGTAAATTTGTGTAATTGTATTTGCTATCTCCCAATAAATCCCTGCTTACCATAAAAAAAGTCTATTTGAATTAAAATTCCATAAATTGAGAACAAGATACAAATGACAATTACGGTTCACAAACGGAAACGTTCGACAGAAAATAGTGTTTGAATGGAGAAAGCAAGCACAACGAAAAATTTTCCAGCAAACACCGTTCAAATTGCGGATACAAACGATAGGAAAAAGCATCAACAACACATTAATAGTGATCTAGCCAGAAATTTACCGTTGGAGTGTTTAGAGGTTTTGCCAGAACTGTTGACATTTTTTGCTAATCTCACGGTTTTCATTTAAATATAGGGGAGATGGGGGCACATTGATCTGTTTTGAGGTTTTTTTGTAACAACAGTGAAACTAACCAAAAAGTGAATATTAATATTTGTGCAATTTACAGAGGAACATTCATTTAATGTATTAAGTTCAGTTTCAATTGTATAATACAAGAAATTTTTTAAAAAAATTTAACTTTGGTACAACCCCTACAAAGGATCAAAGCACCCCATATACGGGGTACCATGATCCCTCCCATGGGGTACATTGATCCTAGGTATAAATCAATATGATTTGATGTTCATTTGCCTCCAAAAAACTCGTTAAAACACATTGGATATAATAATTCATAATTTTTAATAAAAATTAACATTAATTAAGATCTTTAAAAATTGTCAAATCAACGGGAAAAACCAAGTGACGACTGACTCGAGCAGTCCCACCATGCTGAATTGGATCTGGAACTTTACAAACAATGTCCTCTTTTATAAATTGATATAATTCATCATTTCTACAGATAAAGTTGAATGATGACATCTTTTCCCTTTTCA